CAAATTTACACGCCTTCCCACTTAGCCAAGATAGGTTGAGAGCTAGCGAACCGAATTTACACAGGCGCCGCTTAGTCTCCCGGTCCCTCCGACCTAGCGAACGTAATATACACCCTAGAACGCTAGTCTAGACAAGACACCGGTGTCCGGCTAGGGCTATTTACACAGGACCCCGCCTGACTAACCAGATCAAACGGTCTTACTAAAGAGCGTTCGATCGAGCGGTGCGCCTTCGCTCCTTCCCTCCGACAGAGGGGGCAGATTCCATACACAGATTTAAACCCCTTTTGGGCCTACCGCACAATCGGTATACCCCTAGTGGGTCTGCCGTCTAAAACAGCAGTTGTCTTACCTCCTCGTTCCTGAACCTGAGTTCACACTCATCGACGGGGACACCCCAGCACTTCTTACGTAGAGGCCGATGATCTCCTGGACAACAGACCAGTGGCGCCGAGACGAAGGGAGGTCCACGCAGAAGTTCAGGGGTGCAGCCGTAGAGAACGTGGGCAAAGATAGACCGTCTCACGCCTCTGCCTCTCAGCTACCGTTGAACGATGAGCTTCCCGGCCAATGCACCAAATGATACCGGAGAAACTGACGGAAGCAAAGCACAGAGGGATGGACACAGGTTTCTTCAGGAAGGAAGAGATTCTTTATTGGATCACCGATCGGGACTCAGAGGGACTAATGTCACCAAAAATACAGCAAGTTCTGAGCCCTGAACAATAGTGCAGGCTCCCTATATAGGCACATAACTCCTCCCATATTAAGCTCCACCCGCACATTCTCTTGACCAATCATTACAAATAAGAATTAACTTCCTGCTTGACCGCATGGCTTGTCCAGCACAATGGAGGAGGGGAATACTACATCCTGTATTCTTGCACATGCTCCGTACACTACTGATCGTATCTTGCCTCGTGCAACCAACTGATCGATACGTCAGCATATGCACGTACACATGCCACGTGGTAATCTCGGCCTACTAAATTTATTTTTACCGAGATTCCACCACAATATCACTCTACCCAGTTTGCATTGCTTCAGTTAGTTCACAAGCAACAGAACAGGCAAGCAAATAAGTAACATTGGTCCACTTAAAAATACATATAATGAAAAGTATATTTGTACTAGATGCCCAGAAATTAGTTGGACTGTTAGGATAACAAAGATATGGAAACATTGTTAGGTGCTCATTGGTATCTCCTTGTTGTTTCTGTCTTTTACAGTAGGGGCCCCCAATCCCCCACTGAGACAATGCTCACAGGCCAGAAAAAAACAAAAACAGATCAAAGTGTGCTTTATTCTGACAAAGGCAGCAGGTGAGGATAAAGATAAAACACACAAATTGTGTATGCAATAAGGAACATTTTATAACCAGAGCTCAGCATTCTGGGATTCACACATTAAGGGCATTGGATCTAATCTTTGAAATCCCATCTCTTTGTGATTCTCTCTTGCATTTCCCTGTCCAGCATCATAAGAAAGGAACACCAAAACTGACTTACATAACATGAGTGCCAAATCCCTCATAATAAATGCATTATGCAGCTGACTTCTTGGAACACTAGCAGACTCCATTGTGACTCTCATTCTCTTAAAGTAGCAGTGCAGATTGATCCCAACAGCTCCCTCAGCACTAGCACGTCAAGCACTAACAATACAGCCGCAGAGCAGGCACCTGCCACTCGAGACCCCTTAATTGAAATTAAGCAATATTTGGTCTTGATAAAGTTGTTGGAACAAAACGTGTAGACTTTTTTTTTGCTATGTCTTTATAATCCAAACTGCTGTGGCACTCATTTTACTGGTGTGGTACTTGCAATATTTTGCTGATTTTAAAGCCCTTGGTGACAAACAAATGTGTATGATTTTATTGATAATGGATGTTCCTGTTTTCCCTTTAACTGCAAGGTAATGCAGTGCCTTGAACATGGGGGGGATTTTTTTTAAGAAGGAGATTTTTTTACTCATTCCACAATGGCATTAGTTTTCATTAAAAAAATGTTAGCCGGCCACATAAGTTACAGAAGGATATCTGGTTGACTAACTTGTTTTCAGTCTGATGGTCACCAAGGTATAATGTTTTGTTGTTCCACACTATGCGATTTCCAGTGATGTTCTCCACATTTTAGCATTACTTTGACACCTGACAGATATGGAAACCTTAACAGAATCTTATCTTTTCTGAGGATATAAAATTGACATGGTGTATAAATAGCCATTGCTAGTCAATAATTGGGGATACTGATTCACCATTGCTTTTTACATGACAGTCAAAGTTAAATTGGCAGTATTAAAAAGCAAATGACATAATGAATTGTGGTCACTAATTAATAACTTAAATATAATCCATCATGGCAAAAGAGAGTTCATTTTTTTATGTTTTTATTTCACATGACTAGACTTTTCCCCTTTCGGCAGTAACATGCGTTTTTAAACATCTTCCCAATTTATGCCAAAGACATAACCAGATATTACAAATAACATCACTGACCCTAACTTCTGCCGTCCAAAATTATTCTATTAAATACCTTTTTAAACAGTCACAGCGAGCGAAGACATTTTTCATGAATGTCATCTGCTCTTCCTATTAGAATGCTGCAATTTGTTTTTATGAGGTAGAAGATTTTGTGCCTAAGGCTTTACATGAAACAACCAGACTTGCCAGAGTATATAGAATCTAGTTTTTAATTCTGTTGTTGTGAGAAATAGAGTCGGGATGTCATTTATCTTATAGTTTACCAATGCTCAGAGGAAGACATGACTAGTAAACTAACATCGGGATCTAGCTTGGAAATATCGTGTTTCTCCTAGGGCTGTAGAAGACTGTAAGGATGTAAATGTATATATTTCATGAGAATAATGGAATATGTGGTCAAATGTTCTCAATCTGATACGGAAAGCAATAAAATTTTATTGTGAGAGTCCTATGAATGCCTTAAAGGATTGTGTTAATCAAGAAACATGACATGCCCACTTAGGAGTTGGCTGGGAGAGATCGATTTTTCAATTATGATTACAAAATATTAAACTTTTACATCAGAACTCCACTTTTATAGCAGTAGTCATTAGTGTGATGTATTAATACCCAATAGTCAATTACAGAAGCTTGCTGGAATATTTTCTTTTTTTTTCTACAAGTTTATAGTTACTTGGATTTGGAAGCTATAAATTAACTAATGATGTAATCATTCATTATTAACCTTATGCAGTACACACTATAGTTATATTGAACATTTCTATTTAGTATTGTCACAGCTGCTGTTTATTTAGAATATAGGTTTCTATGAAACACATTGTGAAAAAAATATAGCATTTGTAAAAACACTAGATTTTTAATCCATCATTTGTAGATGGCATTTGCCCTTTAACAGTCTCTCACAATCTCGATTGTTAGCAATCAGGTCTAAAATTAAAAATGAAGTTGCCAGAGAGTGATATTGTGTTTTATATCCAACCAACAACAATTACTTAAAGTGGCTCTGTCACCTCAAACTTACCTTTCACCTATAGTTTCCTCTTCTCTTCCTCTTTCAGAATCTATTCTTCTTCTCTACATTTTGATCTATTTCTCTTTAAAACTTAAGTTAAAGTAAGGGCTTCTTTATCTTAGCTATTTTTCCTACTCTTGACACTTATGACATATGGGTAGAGATGTCGCGAACCGTCCGCGAACTTCTCACGAATGGTTCGCCGCGAACTCCGGTCAGCTGACACATCCCGGCCAATCTCCAGCAGACCCTTCCTCCCAGACCCTCCTACTTCCTGGACAGCATCCATGATGAAGGCAGCTTCAACATGGATGCTGTCCAGGAGGTGGGAGGGTCTGGGAGGGAGGGTCTGCTGGAGATTGGCGGGGATGTGTCAACTGACCGGAGTTCACCACGAACGGTTCGTGGCGAACCGTGGCGAACCGTTCGCGAGAAGTTTGCGGACGGTTTGCGACATCTCTACATACGGGTGGTGCTTTGTTAAGTTAACTAAGAGTTAAGAGAAGCTTGCCTTAATCCTTTCCTTTTGTTAGAGCGTGCTATGCCATCCTACAAGAGGAGAGCTTTAACACAGCTAGGGCAGCATAATACACCTTAAAAATCAGGCCCTCCCTGTAGCCATAATTCAACCCAGGCAGTCCTCCTGCAACCAATCCCACTGATCCAAGTCATGTGTTCACACGACTAGGGCCAGCAGGATTGACAGATTAACTGTAGGTGGACTGCCTGGCTTTATAATACATATATGAATGAAATTAGGTAGATAATTAGATAGACAGACAGATGAACGGACCAACTGAAAAATAGATCTTTTCATTCTAAGTGTATTTTGATATTAATATATATGTAATATATTTATATATCTATATCTATTTATATATCTATAGATATAGATATATACATATTTTACATATATATTAATATCAAAATACACTTAGAATGAAATGATCTATTTTTCAGTTGGTCCGTTCATCTGTCTGTCTAAGGGCAGTTAATGTGTAAAAAATGCAAAAACCAAGCATGAATATTAAGTTTGGCCAGCCTACCAAAAAAGACTAGACAAATGACATTTAGAATACCCTGGGTTGTCTACGTTTGCAAATGGTATGCCATGATGGGGGCAATTTTCATTCCTGGGCAGCCAAAGGGTGTCAAAGGCAACATAGGCCCAACAAACCAATTTGGCAAATTTCAATGTGTATAAACCAAAAAGGGGATCATAGTTACCATGGTATCTAAAGTTTTTGTTCTCACTCTCCATACATAGGGAATTCTTGCAACATCTGACACACATAGGGCTTCACAAATTTGTTGCTACTTTTACAGGCCAACCACTACTCATTAAAATGTCTGTTGCTGGGTGCATTGTCAACTTCCTGTGAGAGCGGACACATGGTGTAGGAGTTCTGAGACTTACAGACCCAATTAGCAACATTATGACATTTAACCCAACTGATTTTTACACTAAAAGTTGCCCCTAAAACAAGTATCATTTCACCCTTGAAGAGATTGAAATTAACCAAATCAATCAAACAAAAGAAAAAAGACAGTCAGAAAGAAATCCAAGATGGCGACAACCAGGCCACCACGTCACGGCCTCAGACGGGCTATCAGACCAGGATTCCATCTGCTCCAAATACTCTGAATCTCCGGTCACAGAATACAGCTCATCACATAAGATGCTGCAGGAGTTACATGCCATAATTAATGCAGACTTCTACCACATTGACCGAGACATAAGGAAAGAAATTTCTAACTTAGGTGACAGAACAAGTCACTTAGAAAACCGGGAACTGTGTGCTGCACTTAACGAAGTAGTCGACAAGGTACACAAGCTTGCTGAGGAAGACGCTTTATTAAGAAGTAAAATGGCATACATGGAGGACAGATCAAAGCTCCAAAATGTTCGCTTTCACAGCATTACAGACGATGTCTCACATGATGCACTGCCTACTCAAATTATATCTATATGTAAGTCATTGATACCAGAACTACCTGATTTAGCATGGGCCTTTGATCGCATGCATAGACTTCCTCACGAAAGATGTCATAGTAAAGTTCCATTATCATGCACACAAGGATGCATTACTAACAGCTGCCAGGAAGCTTTCTACACTCCAAGCTCCACACCAATATCCTTCCCTGTTTGTGGACCTATCTGTAGCCACGATGGCAAAATGCAGAGAATTTATCAACGTTACCAAAACACTTTGCAACCATGCTATCTCATACAAATGGGGTTATCCCACTAAACTGTTGATTTGGAAGCAAGGTAAAACATCTGTGATCAACAACCTGGAAGAGGGAATCAAGAAGCTCACTGAATGGGGGCTGTGGAACACTGCTTTTTTTCCACAACCAGGGTCTTCATCTCCAAGAAGAATTCAAAGCGAATGGCAAATGGTGGGATCCTCACTGAAAAAATCTTGAACTTTGGACGCTAAAATCTTTCTACTCAACCTAGTCGTGATGGACGGTTCACAAGAATCATATCCTTTTGATACCCTATAGTTATAGTTTGCCACTTTTTTCTTTATGTTATAATATGACCTGCACACCGATCATATATAGTAGATATCTATGCATATTATTGATCACCAAACTTCCATGCTCGCATATCCCATACTATACAGATGAAATAAATGCACCCTCTGTGTGAGGAGCTCAGTAATAAATCCTGAGCAACAAAGTTGGAGGTAACACAAGGCACAGAATATTTACCATTAACCATCACGAGTACCGCCACGATTATATGATGGTTCGTTGTGCACCTCAGGATGAGGGATTCTTCTTGCAACTCTTCACATAAGGTCATGTTTGATAATTGTTTAATGAGGCTGAAACCCTGAGTAAATGCATATTTATGAGCACGAGAGCCCGAGTGCTGGGTATGAGCCTAGTTGGCTCAACTCTATGGCATTGGAGCAACCATGATAAGATAATTAGATATATTCATATATAACAAAAAAGGATCATTTTATACAGTTATAATTGCCTTTAAGTTTTACAGTTATCACAGGATGCAAATTTCATTACTGAAAGTACTGATACCTAAGAATTCATTAAGTAACTTGCATAAAAGATTGGGGTTTTCTCTAACATGAACTGAACACCATTTCGGCAAGTAATCATCATTATTATTGTCGAATAGACAAGGGCGAACTGTATTCTCAATACTACTAAAATTATGATTTAGGTTAGATGAATATTTTTGTTTATCATTATCGGGTTAAATGTCGGGGCATCAGCACGCCTTCTCTGGTCATATTGTTAGAAGCCAAAATGTCTAACTTTAGTTTTTTCCTTTTATTTATGTTTTATATAGTACATTGGCCACTAAGCTTACAACTGACTTCTGTTCTCAGTCATATGAGGGTTCCACATATCTGATTAGAATTTACCATGCCATTACAATCTGTGACAAAGTAACTTCTAACAATGTTGAATGACGGAGACCCTTGAAACAAGGGGATCCCAGAAGTAGCTGCTGAATTTAACAGAATAAATAGTATAGTTACCAGGTGGCAAGTAGAGAAGAACAGGGGGCTGTACTTGTAAGTGGATAAAAGGGTGAAGGGGAATAAATAGAAATACCCATATATACCCTATATACGCCACTGCTAGTTGTATTTAATAGCAGCAAAGGAATGTCCCTTTAACAAAAAAAACAAAACAAAAAAAAGAGAGGGACATTTATACTAGAAAAAATGTCCAAAATTAGGACACCTAAGCTGCAAAAATACAATAAGGCAACACAAAATATGTGTCATACATAAATCACCCCACTAATATAAAGGCAGGCAAACAGGAACCTATACAAACATGAATAGGAGAAAAGAGAGCGAAAGGGGGACAAGGGCAGACCCACCAGGACCCACCAGGACCAAAAAATGCCTGCCTAGAAAAAACTCTAAATGCCAAATAATAAATTGCTAACTATACTAACTAACTAAATCAAACATACTAACTACCTAAGTGCTACCTAATGTGAGAGAAAAAAGATAAATCAAATAAGGCGCTCGACGCGCGTTTCAGCGTGCATACACGCCGTCGTCAGGAGCTATTGGAAATGCCGTTCTTATTGAAGCCGGTTAAATACCTGAGCAATCAGAGAAAAGTCCCTCCAGCTGATCCAGCGCGTGGGAGGAGTGGGTGATTGACATGGAGTCACCACTCCTCCTCAACCCTGTCATTGCTTATGCTGGAGTCTCATTGGAGAATAACAAAGTCAATCACTGAGAGGTAGGGGAGGGACTTATGCATAATCAGAACACACCTATCCAAACCCTGCTGCTCACATGGGGATAACCATTGGAAGATCTATCAGTCAATCAATACAGGTGGAGGGTGCAAAATCAAGCATCCCTCCTCCTCATAACAAAACTAACATAAACCTAACTAGCCAATATATATGATATCAATGAGGAGTATCAAAATGTAGCACAGGGAAGGGACTACAGCACCTCTGGCATGAAACTGGCTGACAGATCACACAGTCAGTCATTATGCCAAATATTGATATATAAAATGCCTCCAGATGCATAAAAACATTAAAGGCATATAATAACTTCTAACAACCCAACTTAGATCAACCAAAGCTGTATTGCGACATGCTATATACCAAACTCTACGAAGGGTACCGCATATGACCAAACACACTTTCACTACAGGCTCAAGGTCAAATATTGACACCTTATGCTATAACTCTATGACTAATTCCATGAAATTTTTTTACCTTAACTTGAAAGGGCTAAATATTCTGCATAAAAGAAGGCTAATCCTTAAAGATATGCACCACTCTCTCACAGTGAGAAAACGCGGAAGCCCTCTAGCGGCTGTCAATGAGACAGCCACTAGAGGCTGGATTAACCCTAACATAAACATAGCAGTTTCTCTGAAACTGCTATCTTTATAGAAAAAAAGGCTTAACCCTAGATGGACCAGGCACCCAGACCACCTCATTAAGCTGAAGTGGTCTGGGTGCCTATAGTGGTTCTTTAAGGATTACACCTATTTTTCTCCTGTACACATGACATATTCACGCATTGATTTATGCATTGTAGACAAAACTACACTTTCCTACACAGAAACTCATCACATAGGGAAAAGAGTTTGGTCAGACCATGCTCCAACAATGCCTACCATTAGAGTCCCCTACCCTACACGGGGCAGAGGTAAATGGACACTAAACAAATCTATTCTTGACTGCCCACTCCAAACAAAACAAATAGCAAACACCTTACAAACTTACTTCTCAAATAACATCACTGATGACACTACACTGGAAACACAATGTTTATCCCACAAGGCTGTGGTGATGGAAGAAATAATTAAAATAGGATCATCCATAAAGACAAAATACTGCACCGATAAGGTGAAATTGCTCCAAGAACTAGTCTCCCTGGAGAAAATCAATAAGAAATCTCCCTCGAAAGCCAACACCAAACAGATCGCTAAAATTCAAAATGAACTCCATAAGCTGCAAATTCAGGACACCAGCAGAAATGTACGTGCGCTTAAACAAAAATGTTATACCTTGGGTAACAAAGCAGGGAAATTATTAGCAAACAAACTATAAAAACAACTCCCTTCAAACCAAAATCCCCAATATACTCTCCAAAACCAATGCAAAAATTTACAACCCAAATAAAATAGTAGATGAACTAGCATCATACTATGAAGACTTATACAATCTCAAGTAGGATTGCAACACGCATAACCCTAACAAAGTAGAAATATCTAACTACCTGAAAATATTTTTTTATCTAAGATAGCACCTCAACAAAATGTAGAATTAGAAGCCCCCTTTACTGAAGAAGAAGTAAGAGAAGCCATTCAATCTTTACCGAAACATAAAACCACAGGCCCGGACGGTCTTTTGAACTACTACTATATCAAATTAGAGCTGCACGTAACACCATTCATCACACAACTATTAAACAATATTAAATTATGAGGTGCAATCCCCAAAGAAATGCTGGAAGCCCACACAATAACTCTACCTAAGTCAAATAAATCACCCACGGTGTGCGGCAACTTACGCCCTATTTCTCTGCTGAATGCAGATGTAAAATTATACCCTAAACTTATAGCATCCCGCATAAAACCTCTCTTGACCAACGTTATTTTGGAAGAACAGGCAGGCTTTGTTCCCAGCAGACAGGTCGGAAATAACACCAGATACTTCTTGGATATGATAGATTGGGCAAACCAAAGTACACAAAGCGGGATGATAATAGCGTTGGACGCAGAAAAAGCATTTGACCGCTTGAATTGGAATTATATGGCAGCCACACCTAGAGCCTATGGAATGACACATTCATTTATTTCAAGCATATTAGCTCTTTATACAGCATCCTCAGCTAAGGTTTTTAAAACAGGATTTCTATCCAGGGCTTTCTAAATAACTGATGGATCGCATCAGGGCTTCCCACTTTCCCCTCTAATTTTTTATTATGTGCCTAGAATCATTAGTGCAAAATATAAAAAATAACCCCTTGCTTTCTGGGTTAGCCTCCCCCGCTGGGGAACAGAAATTAGCATTATTTGCAGATGATGTTCTGCTTTTCTCAGAGACCTAGCAAATTCAATACCAAATTTATTAACAGCTCTATCGGAATATATAATAATCTCATACTATAAAAACAACATATATAAGACTCAAATTCTTCTGTTCGGGGTCACTGCAACACTCACTAGCCAATTACAATCTTTATATCTGTTCGAATGGCGCAAAAAATCCATAGCATATCTAGGCATTAAATTATCAAAAAAATCTAGCAGATTTTTCCATACAAGAAAATCACATGGAGGTGCTTAACAAGATTTCAAAACAATTGGATACATGGGCTAAATTAGAAACATCCTGGATAGGCAGAATAAACACACTGAAGATGATGACATTACCACACATACTCTGTCACGACACTCCTTAGCTGATTTGCCCTCGTGCAGTACTCATACTCACCACTGTTTCTGTTTGGCACTGTTCCTGATTTCCTTTTTATTAAGCACTTCACCTGGTCCTTGTTTAGCACCTATTTAGTTTGGGTTCTCCCCTCACTCCTGGCCAGATCATTGCCTTTTGTTTCCTGTTTCCCTGGTTTCCTGTGTTCCTGGCTCCTGCGTGCTGTGACTTGGTCCT